CCTGCGACCCTCAGATTGTGAGTCGAGCGCCTTATCCACCTGGCCATGCCGGGCACATTTGAAAGAAGATTGATGAGTTACGGCCAGCTGGAAACTCTAGTCAGTATAAAGTTCTCACCCTATATAGCTTCTTAGTCAACACAACTTTTTATATTGCATATACAATCTTGTTCTCAGGACTATATCTCATTATGTAACATAAGAAGGCAACATTGTACATGTTTTTATGTGTAGAATGTTCAGCGATGTTTTACTAAGACTTAAAAGTCACAGGGAAGAAGAGAGAAAAAGAGACAGAATTCAAAGAATTAAAGAAAAACAACTACGTTAACCTAGATAACGGATCTCTTTACACATTCGGAGGTGATTTTTGGCTTCGAAAAGAGAATTAATATTGAATTAACAGTACACAAGAGTTTCTTTCTGATCACATATAATAGCATGTTACTATTCTAATAGGTATCTTAAATCGGCATTTTAGTTAAACTAATATTTTCCATCTCGATAGAAATCTAACCTTGTAAGAAGTCAATGCCCGCATCATACGCTTTAATTGATATCAACTCCACTATAGAAAAGCGAACAAAAGTATTATAGCAGGCCTCTTACTGTGATGAAATGCAAACAATTTGAACTTAATTCGTAGGAAAACTATTAAGAGAGAAATACAAATAACATTAAAATCCTGGTTGACTTAGTACAGTAGACCTCTTATAGTGACAAAATGCAAAATTTAAGTGATTGTTACTGAGTTTCATTCTGTGATGATTGCTACCAGGGCTTAAGCATGATACGACTGTTTCTGAGTGTGTATTTATGATGTGCTTGTCACATGGTATTTAACGCTACGGTAAATGTTATCTACCGTTTGATTTTAAATGTTCGTTACTTACTGCACATATCTGCAGACATTGCTACACACAGCTGAGGTCTGTGTTAATAAGTTATCGCTACTATATGTTTATTCTTCTGGTGATTGCCACTATGTATTTAGTTTTTGTAGTAACGCACCCTTTTTTCACACCTAAGGTGTTTTTGATTACATATCAAGACTTTTTGTCAGTACACTTTCCCCGCTGATTTTTTCCAAGCCCGTTCCCTTGGCTGTGGTTTCGCTAGATAGTAGATAGGGACAGTGGGAATCTCGTTAATCCTTCATGCGCGTCACTAATTAGATGACGAGGCATTTGGCTACCTTAAGAGAGTCATAGTTATTCGGAACAGGCCTATACTTTTGAAAACTAACAAGATTCTTTAAAATATATGGTGGTAGTTTTCCTTTCTAAAACAGCGTTAATAACTTCCTTTACAGTAACGCCATGGAACCTAGATTAACAGTTTCTTGTCATCACCCGCATGTACCGGTACGGCCGTATCAAGCATCATTATTTACGCTAATTCCTTAAGCTAATATCACATGACGCTTAGCTCTCTTTGGTTAGGATAATTTTATCAAATTTAGCAATTTGTGCTTAAAATGTTGAATAATAACCGTCCACCCATATGATTCTTTTGAAAACTTTAGCTAGAAACTGCTAATCTAGTTTGCTCGGCCTGACCAATACTAATGTATCTGCACGTGCCTTCACCCTATAGTTTTGCAACTCTAAATTAGCTGAATGACAAAAAACCAAAAACAGTCCAACTTTATTCTTATGTGAAGCTATAGTAAAAATTTCAGACAGATAACTCGAGTGACTTTTTACGTAGGCGTGCACAAAAATCTTGGTCAAAACTGAGCGGTTTTGTTGAATAACTTTGTATATGTGGGTTTTATTTAGATTAAATTAGACACTTAATTATATGTTGTAAAGATCTATTAGTATACCAAATTTTAAAACATAGATCCATAAAGTTAAATATGTTTTTCTATCAAATAAATTTTACATAATTTCGGTGCGAATAATAAAAAGGAAGAAATTCAATCAAACATGGAAATTTTATATCTCGTGTACTCCTTAATGGATTGCTTTAAAAGTTGGTATGTGAAGTAAAGATCCAGTAGAGTACATCCACTGAAAATAGGTAACAGTTTTGATTACCACAGTCCGAGCTACAGAAAGTGGAAAATTGCTAAACTATTACTCCTGTTAATAACACACAGTGTGTCGTGCAGGTTGTTTTGGTCACACAACACACTACTGTGTATCCTCATTATAACTACAAAAAACAAGAATTGCTCCATCACGTTCTGTGTCTTTTTTTTCTGTATGTAAAAAACATTTCTGCCACCAAAAACTCTCATTACTACTCTTGACAGAATACGACTATCAATCCAAAAATTAAACTCTCAACAAAACAATAATTACTAAACTGAAAAGGTAGTCTCATTACTATTCTTGACAGAATACGACTATGAATCCAAAAATTAAACTCTCAACAAAACAATAATTCCTGAACTTAAAAGGCAATTTTTATTTACCCAATATTTTTACATCATCGTATTTTATCTATATTCATCAATATTCATAAATCTCGGTATTGTACCTGAGATGAAATACAATTAGCACTTGATAGTTAGAACGTGGTTGAACGTATTGAATTAGTTATTGATTATAGTTATCTTATAGGTGGTTTTACAAGCGGAACCAACTACGTATCATTTTACATAATCGACAGAGTACAATTCGCATTGCATGAAAACTAGCAATATCTAACAAATAATTACGATATATAATTTCTGATAATCAATTTTAAAGGAAATTTCCAAACACTTGTTATTTTTTTATTTTCCAAAAATACTGTATCAGTCGCTTCTACTGCTACATATAGGGATGTTCATAGAAACCTGTTTAAGCTTTAATGATTAATAAAACAATTCAAGATAAACAATTAATTTTCCATCCCATTTTGAAACAAAACTTTGTTTTTAGTCAAATTACTTAAGGTTTTCATATAGTCCTTCACTAATTTATAATAACCTAACATACTTTAGGTATACGAATAATATATGACTAACCTGTTACGGGTTATAATATATTATTATTCAACGTACTCGATGATTAATTAATTGTGCATTTCTTGTTTCCTCACTCAAATGAATAACTTCGGTGCATGAGAGAAAACTCCATCTTCTTACATTCGCCCATCCCTCTGCAGTAAGCTAGTTTTACCGAATTCACACCCTGCAGATTGTTTATATTCCATCACTTTCAGAGGTTTGTTGGTTCTCTTCTTCAAACAGTATAGAGGTTGTGGTAAAAAACAAACAAACAAACAGAATTTAGTAGGTATCTGCGTCGTAATTAATGTGTGGACAAGTTGAACAGTTTTCTACGGGCTACTCCAGGCATCTATCTACTTTTGGAGAGAACGTTTCGCACTATGTGCTTAGACTTGAAATGCTCATCACAAAGTTTAAAACGTCGTCTCCAAAACTGTACAGAACGCAGGAGAGACCATATGGAACTACCATACAACCATATTCTCTTCTCTATAGCACTAACAAAGGATATTATACATGTCCTGATAGACATGGACTTTAGTGGAATACCCCCATCAAACAAAAAAACATAAAGTTAAAATTACTTTTTTAATAAGTAGGGTATTTCATTGTGTAATGAGCACAAGCCTCCAACTATCCAAAATTCAGAAACTGATTGAAACTAAAATAATATTCAAACCATGTAGTGTAGCAGAATCTAACTAAACCAAAGTTCTAAAGTGTGTAATTCAAATTTTAGCATTTTCCGAAAGCATCATGACATCAGCTACCCAATTATTATAGCACTGTACAATTTCCACTAATACATGGAAGTGAATATTTCACGAGTTGTATATTCCCTACAAAACAAGATAGACTCAGATTTAAATTTAAACTGTAAAATTTGAAATCTAGTATATTTCATAATCAGAATTATCTAAACCTTACGTAAAGGTGAGGGAATATTATTTAAAGAGAACCAAATCACAGACTAGTTTACAACACAAGTGGTAAACTCCCTTCCAAGTTATGTTTTCAAACGATGAATTATATAGCGTATTATATATTTCACAAATAGCATAAACCTTAAGTAACGCAGAAAATTACAAGCTGACTAAGTTTCGGCTTCTACTTATGAATAAGTAAGCTCTCCTCTATACGAAGGCTTTGCTCGTCACTAGTCTCAGTTTGAATCCTAAAATAATTTGAATAGACGACTGCACCACACACACTTAAGACGTGTTTGATTTTGGTTAATCTATTCGGTACCCTTGAATCTGTATGTTCTTTCGCATGTGGTTGCAGCCACTTCATGGTGGTCGAATATAACATTTTTTTTTTCGCAACAAGGACAAATAAACTTATAAACTACAATTCATATCTTCAGTGTTGACATTCTGCCTCTACTTGTAAAATAGGTATGTTAAATTGTGAAATAAAACGAAATAATATTTTGTTTGAAACCATTGACTCGTCAGGTTTCAGAGGATTTCAATTTATTGAAAAAAATCACTAGTTCAGATTTTCAACGTTTCTTCTAATGTTTGTAAATATAAAAAATTATATTAATGCAATTAATTAAGTTAGATCATTTAAGCCTGTTTGTTTGATTAGAAATTTTCTTGAAAAGGTACGCAATAGCTATCTGTAATAGCCGTCCCTAATTTTGAAATGATAGAGCAGAAGGAAGATAGCCTGTCAACAGCAGCCTCCACCAACTGTTGTGATACTCTTATCTGACCTAATGCTGTAGGATTTGATCTTATTCTTATGAGAATCTTGCCTGGCATAGTCTTGTGGCTAGGAATCACGACTCCTAATCTGCTGGTCGTGCCATCGAATCCCATCATAGAACATGCTGTTCCTTTCAGCCGTGAGGGTGATATAATGTGGCGGTCATTCCCACTATTCGATTTGAGTAGTCCAAAAATTGGCAGTGGTTGGTGTTTTAATAAGCTCCACCTATACATTTGGCTTGACAAAGTTTCTCAGCCACCTTGGATTGATTAAATTGCCCCAGCCCCTCTGCTTGTCAGAGGACCCAGACGCCATTCCAGTTCTTCTCCTTGGCCTGGATCTGGTGCTTAAATCTGTTGATTTCCTGTATGGTTTAGTGGGCTGGGAAAAATGTAAGTGCCCATATCAGAAACTTCAGATGCCATATTTATCCAGTCAATGGCAAAGATGATAGTAGTCAGTCTATCAAAGATTTTGTGATTGTATTTTATACCCAACCTGCTCTGAAAAGGCGTGCATTGTGTGGAAAACTCTTCCCAAGATATAGTTTGTGTTTTGCTACAGTACTACTCTAAGGTTTTTGTTTTGGGATTTTGTGGTTCCATATACAATGACAACCCCAGATGGGGCACTTTAGTGTGTAGTGTTTTTTCTGCTTCTCCAATCTCTTCTGTAATCTTGGCGCATTACGGACAAAGAAGTTGGTAACACAAATTATTTCACAGACACGAATTGATGTTTTCGTAGCCGATTATTGTTGTTGGTGGCCCAATGACAAGGTAATAGATGTGTGAGGAACCATTGATTTCCTATAGTCCAGGATTAGATCATTATACATTTCAGGTAGAAACAGTACATTAGAGGATTCTGATAGTAGGAAA